CGTGGGACTGCTAGATGAAGTGGTACAAGCACATGTTGTAGTAGATGTGGTAGTGGTGGTCGTGGGACTGCTAGATGAAGTGGTACAAGCAACATGTTGTAGTAGATGTGGTAGTGGTGGTCGTGGGACTGCTAGATGAAGTGGTACAAGCACATGTTGTAGTAGATGTGGTAGTGGTGGTCGTGGGACTGCTAGATGAAGTGGTACAAGCACATGTTGTAGTAGATGTGGTAGTGGTGGTCGTGGGACTGCTAGATGAAGTGGTACAAGCACATGTTGTAGTAGATGTGGTAGTGGTGGTCGTGGGACTGCTAGATGAAGTGGTACAAGCACATGTTGTAGTAGATGTGGTAGTGGTGGTCGTGGGACTGCTAGATGAAGTGGTACAAGCACATGTTGTAGTAGATGTGGTAGTGGTGGTCGTGGGACTGCTAGATGAAGTGGTACAAGCACATGTTGTAGTAGATGTGGTAGTGGTGGTCGTGGGACTGCTAGATGAAGTGGTACAAGCACATGTTGTAGTAGATGTTGTAGTAGATGTGGTAGTGGTGGTCGTGGGACTGCTAGATGAAGTGGTACAAGCACATGTTGCAGTAGATGTGGTAGTGGTGGTCGTGGGACTGCTAGATGAAGTGGTACAAGCACATGTTGTAGTAGATGTGGTAGTGGTGGTCGTGGGACTGCTAGATGAAGTGGTACAAGCACATGTTGTAGTAGATGTGGTAGTGGTGGTCGTGGGACTGCTAGATGAAGTGGTACAAGCACATGTTGCAGTAGATGTGGTAGTGGTGGTCGTGGGACTGCTAGATGAAGTGGTACAAGCACATGTTGTAGTAGATGTGGTAGTGGTGGTCGTGGGACTGCTAGATGAAGTGGTACAAGCACATGTTGCAGTAGATAGTGGTGGTAGTGGTGGTCGATGGGACTGCTAGATGAAGCAGTAGTGGTGGTACAAGCACATGTTGTAGTAGATGTGGTAGTGGTGGTGGTGGCCGTGGGACTGCTAGATGAAGTGGTACAAGCACATGTTGTAGTAGATGTGGTAGTGGTGGTCGTGGGACTGCTAGATGAAGTGGTACAAGCACATGTTGTAGTAGATGTGGTAGTGGTGGTCGTGGGACTGCTAGATGAAGTGGGTACATGCACATGTTGTAGTAGTGGTGGTCGTGGGACTGCTAGATGAAGTACATGCAGCATGTTGTAGTAGATGGGGTAGCACAGTAGTGAAATGGGACTGCTACATTGTGCCCAGTAATCGAGGATGTGGTGAAGTGGTGGTGTAGTATTGCTTTAACACTAGGACTGCTAGATGAAGTGGTACAAGCACATGTTGTAGTAGATGTGGTAGTGGTGGTGGTCTAGATGAAGATGAAGTGGTACAAGCACATGTTGCAGTAGATGTGGGAGTAGTGGTGGTGAGTGGTGGTGGGACTGCTAGATGAAGTGGTACATGCACATGTTGTAGTAGATGTGGTAGTGGTGGTCGTGGGACTGCTAGATGAAGTGGTACAAGCACATGTTGTAGTAGATGTGGTAGTGGTGGTCGTGGGACTGCTAGATGAAGTGGTACAAGCACATGTTGTAGTAGATGTGGTAGTGGTGGTCGTGGGACTGCTAGATGAAGTGGTACAAGCACATGTTGCAGTAGATGTTGTGGCAGTAGTGGTGGAAGTTGGTAGTAGATACAGTGAGAGTTGAAATGGTAGCAGTGGTAGTAGCTGTGGTTGTAGTTACAATGGTGGTAGTGGTTGTAGTAGCGGCAGTAGATGTAGAAGAAGTGGTAGTAGTTGTGGTGGTGGTAGATGCAGCTGTAGTAGCCGTAGATGAAATGGAAGTTGTGGTTGTGGTAGTGGTTGAGGTACATGTAGATGAAGGTGAGGTGAAATGGGGTTTAATGTCGTACTTAAGAATATTTCGCTCATATGACAACCTGCATTCATGTGTATGTGTGGCTGCTTGTTCTAGCTCAGACTTAAGCTGGTTTTATAGTGCTAGCTCACTGAGATACCATGTCGCAGTTAAGCATGAATACCCCACTCAGACACATTATACTGACTCCAAGCCGACCAGTCCTTGTTGTAGCCATTAATGCAGATACAACAGAAGTAACATGTCTCAGTCATGTAAATACTACCTGCCTATCTGCGTTGAACTGGAAGAACAAGTTTCTTTCCAACATATTTCCAATATTATACACAAATCAGGGCTCCAGATAAGGGCCATATCGGCGTATGTACAGATAAAAAATATGCATGATACCTTATGAAATAATTTAGAAAACGTAGCAGATACGCACCATGGAAATGGTGTACAGTCTTAGAATCATTTACAGATGTATTTACCTGAAAAAGTATTGTTTCATTGTTTATTGACCTGTTTACACTAGCAATGTTGTGGTGCATATATGAAATGAAACACAAGATTACTGATACGCCATTAAATTCTATTCAGTACTCTAAATGTACTCTTAAGTTTTTCTATATTGAAAAAATAAGGAGTACGTACTCCTGATGTTGAAAAATTATCTGGAGCCCTGCCCACACTTGACACTCCCAACAAACTGTTCACTCTCTAACAACTGCTCACGTAATCAAAAACTAATCCATTACTGACAGTGAGATGAACTGGAGAACTAAAATGTGCTCTGCCAAAATATCTGTGTTTGCCAATTTTATACTTTTGTTCCCAGAAAGTCATTATTGGGCAACTGAAACGCAATATTCCACTTTCCCATCAGTCTTTTAATACAGAGAAGATGGGCTGATGTTCCTTCTTCTATCATCTTGTGACAGATTACTTAGTCTACAGCCAACCACAGGAGATCACGGGATGAACATGTTATATTGATCATATCTACCAAGCAGTCTAACAACAGGATCATCTCACAGGGGCCAAGACTGGAGCAACAAAAGAAGTACAACACTTTCGTCCATCAGACAATATCATTAGATCCAACGATCTCTATGGTAATCAATGGAAAAAATATGATCGCCATACATCACTTCAGCACGATGCAGGCCGCACTGCATTGACACGGCTCACACTGTGGCCTGGGCAGACAGTAAACAATCCCATCTAGTAATTGCTGTTTTGTCTGCCATAATGTATCATTTACCTCTCCCAGGCCTGATATGAAACAGTTTATGACCCAAGGCAGATAACTCTTACAAATGACATTTAAACTTTACAGATAAGGCTGATTGAGATGCAAGAGCAGAAGCCCCATGCATGTCACTGATACCCTTGCCAATCCTTAAACCCACTTGGATCTACCATTCCCTGACAGTAAATACAAGGTGGTGGTGAAAGAAGCCAGAAGCACTGATGTCAGTCTCACAAATAGTTGGCACCTGTCTGCAACTTGCACTTTTCTTGAACATCTTGAACACTGAAGCATGAATGTATATGCATGTCCATTGTGTGCACATCTCCATATGCATGCAGGTGCAGGTGCAGATGCTGCACGTGACACTGTGTACAAGGTCGGACAAGGACAATGTGTGCCACTATTCAATGCCTTGAGACAGATGCTGCACGTGACACTGTGTACAAGGTCGGACAAGGACAATGTGTGCCACTGTTCAATGCCTTGAGACAGATGCTGCACGTGACACTGTGTACAAGGTCGGACAAGGACAATGTGTGCCACTATTCAATGCCTTGAGACAGATGCTGCATGTGACACTGTGTACAAGGTCGGACAAGGACAATGTGTGCCACTGTTCAATGCCTTGAGACAGATGCTGCCGCGTGACACTGTGTACAAGGTCGGACAAGGACAATGTGTGCCACTGTTCAATGCCTTGAGACAGATGCTGCACGTGACACTGTGTACAAGGTCGGACAAGGACAATGTGTGCCACTGTTCAATGCCTTGAGACAGATGCTGCACGTGACACTGTGTACAAGGTCGGACAAGGACAATGTGTGCCACTGTTCAATGCCTTGAGACAGATGCTGCATGTGACACTGTGTACAAGGTCGGACAAGGACAATGTGTGCCACTGTTCAATACCTTGAGACAGATGCTGCATGTGACACTGTGTACAAGGTCGGACAAGGACAATGTGTGCCACTATTCAATGCCTTGAGACAGATGCTGCATGTGACACTGTGTACAAGGTTGGACAAGGACAATGTGTGCCACTGTTCAATGCCTTGAGACAGATGCTGCATGTGACACTGTGTACAAAGGTCGGACAAGGACAATGTGTGCCACTGTTCAATGCCTTGAGACAGATGCTGCATGTGACACTGTGTACAAGGTCGGACAAGGACAATGTGTGCCACTGTTCAATGCCTTGAGACAGATGCTGCATGTGACACTGTGTACAAGGTCGGACAAGGACAATGTGTGCCACTGTTCAATGCCTTGAGACAGATGCTGCATGTGACACTGTGTACAAGGTCGGACAAGGACAATGTGTGCCACTATTCAATGCCTTGAGACTGAAGACTGCTGCACGTGACACTGTGTACAAGGTCGGACAAGGACAATGTGTGCCACTATTCAATGCCTTGAGACAGATGCTGCACGTGACACTGTGTACAAGGTCGGACAAGGACAATGTGTGCCACTGTTCAATGCCTTGAGACAGAAGCTGCACGTGACACTGTGTACAAGGTCGGACAAGGACAATGTGTGCCACTGTTCGATGCCTTGAGACAGATGCTGCACGTGACACTGTGTACAAGGTCGGACAAGGACAATGTGTGCCACTGTTCAATGCCTTGAGACTGAAGACTGCTGCAGCAGCAGATGAAGATACATGTACCGATGTTACCCGTTAACTGTGAGTTACATGTAACCACATTCTAGTCTTGTATTGATGATTTGTTTCTTCACTGTTGAATTTTTGCTTTGTCCAACAGTCTCGAAGTGTAATACAATTGTCATTCATACGAAGAATTACCACGGTTGGCCCAACAGAAACTTGAGGTGCAGGATTTGGGATACCCATTGATGGAGTTTACAAGATTCGGAGTGGGTGAGGACTTACTTGAAGGGGTCAAACACCCAGTGCTTGGACAGTTCTTGCATCGAGTAGCCACGCACCCAGTCCAGGTCCAGCTTCTTCAGGCCAGCGATAAAGTACACCAGGAACACCTGAAACATGACATTCAGGTCATCTACTGAAACATGGCAGTCAGGTCATCTACTGAAACATGGCAGTCAGGTCATCAGATCTACTGTAGCGTGGAAGTCAGGTCATCAGGTCTACTGAAACATAACAGTCAGGTCATCAGGTGGACTGAAACATGACAGTCAGGTCATCAGGTCTACTGAAACATGGAAGTCAGATCATCAGGTGGACTGAAACATAACAGTTGGATCATCAGGTCAACTGAAAACATGGCAGCCAGGTCATCTACTGAAACATGGAAGTCAGGTCATCAGGTGTAATGCCACATGGCTGTCAACACGTTTCATTTACTTGATAAAAAGTTCATGATAAATAGAAGTCATATATTCTGTTTGTTCATATTCTACATACTGAAGCAGTGCCATATTTGCAACCTCATCAAATCCTCAGGTCTACTGAAACATAACAGTCAGGTCATCAGGTCTACTGAAACATGACAGTCAGGTCATCAGGTCTACTGAAACATGACAGTCAGGTCATCAGGTCTACTGAAACATGACAGTCAGGTCATCAGGTCTACTGAAACATGGCAGTCAGGTCATCAGGTCTACTGAAACATGTCAGTCAGGTCATCAGGTCTACTGAAACATGAGTCAGATCATCAGGTCTACTTAAACATGGAAGTCAGGTCATCAGGTGGACTGAAACATGACAGTCAGGTCATCAGGTGGACTGAAACATGATAGTCAGGTCATCAGGTCTACTGAAACATGATAGTCAGGTCATCAGGTCTACTGAAACATGTCAGTCAGGTCATCAGGTCTACTGAAACATGCGTCAGATCATCAGGTCTACTGAAACATGGAAGTCAGGTCATCAGGTCTACTGAAACATGACAGTCAGGTCATCAGGTCTACTGAGGATGATAGTCAGGTCATTAGGTATACTGAAACATGATAGTCAGATCATCAGGTCTACTGAAACATATAGTCAGGTCATCAGGTCTACTGAAACATGTCAGTCAGGTCATCAGGTCTACTGAAACATGACAGTCAGATTATCAGGTGGACTGAAACATGATAGTCAGGTCATCAGGTCTACTGAAACATGACAGTCAGGTCATCAGGTCTACTGAAACATGACAGTCAGGTGGACTCATCAGATCATCAGGTCTACTGAAACATGACAGTCAGGTCATCAGGTCTACTGAAACATGACAGTCAGGTCATCAGGTGGACTGAAACATGACAGTCAGGTCATCAGGTCTACTGAAACATGACAGTCAGGTCATCAGGTCTACTGAAACATGACAGTCAGGTCATCAGGTGGACTGAAACATGACAGTCAGGTCATCAGGTGGACTGAAACATGACAGTCAGGTCATCAGGTCTACTGAAACATGACAGTCAGGTCATCAGGTGGACTGAAACATGACAGTCAGGTCATCAGGTGGACTGAAACATGACAGTCAGGTCATCAGGTCTATGAAACATGACAGTCAGGTCATCAGGTCATCAAATCCTCAGGTCTACTGAAACATAACAGTCAGGTCATCAGGTCTACTGAAACATGACAGTCAGGTCATCAGGTCAACTGAAACATGACAGTCAGGTCATCAGGTCTACTGAAACATGACAGTCAGGTCATCAGGTGGACTGAAACATGATAGTCAGGTCATCAGGTCTACTGAAACATGACAGTCAGGTCATCAGGTCAACTGAAACATGACAGTCAGGTCATCAGGTGGACTGAAACATGATAGTCAGGTCATCAGGTCTACTGAAACATGACAGTCAGGTCATCAGGTGGACTGAAACATGACAGTCAGGTCATCAGGTGGACTGAAACATGATAGTCAGGTCATTAGGTGGACTGAAAACATGGCAGTCAGGTCATCTACTGAAACATGGAAGTCAGGTCATCAGGTGTAATGCCACATGGCTGTCAACACGTTTCATTTACTTGATAAAAAGTTCATGATAAATAGAAGTCATATATTCTGTTTGTTCATATTCTACATTTGACTTATCGTCTGCAAGGGACTCACATTATGATGCAACAAATCTGAAAGATCTGTTCTCCCACATGAGCGCTCATCTGATAGTGAACTACCTGAGGGAAGTTGATCTGTATCATAAATTGTAACTGTTAAATGTGACTATCATAGATTGTAACTGTGAAATGTGACTAACAAATTGCCTATCTCTAAATTTGGTGGTATGACTTTTTCTGCTCTTAAATGACAATGTAATGAATATATGGTTTTAAAATAAAACTCATTCCAAGTATGTACTTAAAATGTTTATTAATGCAAACTTTTTCTCGTCACTATATGGCTGGAATAATGCCGATGTAACGCAAAACCCAACTCAACTCAACTCATATTCTACATACTGAAGCAGTGCCATATTTGCAACCTCATCAAATCCTTTTTCATGTGATGTAGTTTAATATCAAGTCATGTTCCTGCAAAGGCAAGGACTCTAAAAGACCAATCAAATGATACCAGAGCTGATCAATCAAATTGTATTCTCCCATTAAGATCTATGACATGAGGTAGCATCTACAATTTTACATAATTAAACGTTTGAATTTGAGTGTTGACATTATTCAAGAAAAGAAATAAAATCTAAATTTGGCAAAATCATTCCATTAAAGGCAGATAAAAGAACTTTCCACATGATTGAAAAAGTAGCTCCAGCATTTCAATCAATTTGTCAACATTTTCTTTCGTGTTGAGTAAACGACTTTCATTGGAATGGTGTACAACAGCTTCAGTCCTTCAATCTTCAGGGTCTCATCATCAAAACAATGGCTCACTCAAAGATGCATCACAAAATATTTTTTGGAGAAAGTCAGACACAAAGCTCTTTGAATTTATTCAATTAAACAGACCCTGATTACCAAGACAAAACACAGTTCAATCACCATCAAAGTCTAATCTTCCTGTGTGCCTGAATTGATCAATGATTCCGTTGTTATGCTGTATCCAGCACTGACCCATGCTAATAATAGAACCCAGGCATTGTGAGTTACCCACTGCCTGTCTTAATTGAACTTCAAAGCTGGTCAAGGCAAAGGATGGAGACAAGTCCATAGGGTGAATTTTATACACTGTTTTTTTCACAGCATAAGAGTTTCCAAAATAACATATTGTGTATCTTCTGAATACAAAACAGAACTTAAGACAAAAAGATACTAAAATACTTTTAAGAGATTGTGGCATTTCATTGCCTAAAGAAGCAACTGGTTAAGCTGAACATAAACCATACAGTGGAAGCTGTCAAAACCGGCAGTTGTCCAATCCGGCAAGTTGTCAACACTGGCATAAAATCTCAGTCCCGTCCGTGGCTAGTGCAATTATCATCATTTAAAAGCACTGCAATCCTGCAGCTGTCTATTCCGGATCTCGGCCTGATATGAGCCGCCCGAATGTGGGTTTATGCTGTAATCAGCGCTGTCTAATCCGGCGTGTGGCGAGGATTCGGCTGGATGTGTATTGTCACCAATTAGTCTTGCGTTGAAACAACATGGTTGCCCACAAAGACATTTTAATGAGTGAGTTGACATGTGTTATTGTGATAGAACAATGTATATGAGACTGACAAAACTTGTTCACTTCTAGTCGGAGGTAACCGTGTCATCTGTACAATCCGGCACGCTGTCTAAACCGGATTATTTCTTTAGTCCCGACGAGTGCTGGTTTAGACAGCTTCCACTGTATTCTTTTCCGACACTGCTGACAGAATGGCTATAGTGATGGGTGTTTCACTGCATTAATGCAAAGAATGATGTCTATAGTCTTTGGTGATAATGATTTACAAACAATGTACTCAATCATTTTTATCAGTTGACTTCAATGTTTTAAAGTTTACACCTCCATAAACACAAAACATATTGACATCTATTCTCAAATAAATGACACTTCACATAGAATATGAAAACTGCAAACAAAAATGGGTACATTGATGAGGTACACAATAAATATTACTCAAAACTCCCCGAACATTACCATGTATTGTCTAATTGCTCACTGGCATTCTAAAAGTAGTTGAGTAAATAAGGAAACATACAACTATATGGATAACAAGTTAAAGATGGATAACACTATATGGATGAAAAACCTCTTTACTACAGTGAGAGCAACATGTAGGTTCTAACGCTGTTATCAAGCAAGTGATGAACCTACAGTGCTACATCGCTCTCACTGTAATAAATAAGTTGTTCATCCATATATTGTTATCCATCCTTACCGCTCAAACTTCTAAATGCCGCTCTAAGAATGACAACAGCTTGTAACAGACCTCAGGGTCATTTGGTATAAGTCCATGGATGAATATTGTATCTGTTATCTAATGTCAGTTCTCATAGCCTAATGATAATTCATCAATATCACCAACAGATGAGATGCTGGTCAGATTCTAACAGAACCTTAAAGCAGTGTTCTGTGTCAAGTCTAGGTCAGGAAGACTGATGGTTGAATACAATCCAAACATCTGAAGAATGATGAGCTGCATGCACCCAGGTCAAACTACAGAGTAACCACTTGATGCTCATTGGTCAGATCTCATGACAAGCATGGCTGTCTGGGAACCTATCTGTCTGGGAACCTATCTGCCTTAACATTCTGATAAAACACCTTTAACCCCAAACTATGATTCATGTTTAAACTATGGTTAATGAGCAGTCATACCTACCAGGGTTCTAAGCAGAGTGTAATTCCACAGTGGAACATGAGCATTCCGTATCTTTGGGAATAACAAGCCATCCACAGACCTGAAACAAATCATGTTCATTAATACAACGCAGTCTCACCAGCACAATGGAGGTGAAGGACACACCTGTGCCACACTGTCTCAAAATCTAAGTACATGTCCATGAAATATTTGTCTATGTTTTCTTCTTCAAAAACCTACATTGTTACTCTACAGAACCCTTAGAACCAGGTGGTTGTGCAACCAGCAATCAGTGTATACAGATTGTTCCTTAGCAACACAATTTGTCCTATCAGTACATACTGGCATCCCAGGGCAACTGCATGGTGTAGGCTACAACATACAACAGGAATGGTTGTTCCAAAGTGAGAGGGGTGATCTGAACTATCCACACTCTATACTGGCATCCACAGGTGTACAAGCAGGATTGGTGTTTCCTGTACCACACTTACCAACTTTGGTTGGCACCAGTGAATATCAGAACCACGACATGGACATAGACAGGTAGGAGTGATTGTTCCAAGACACTTACCAGTATCTGTTGGCATCAGAGAACATCAGAACGAAGACCAGGACTCCGTACAGGTAGGAGTGATTGTTCCAGGATGTCTTGTCCAGCAGGAACACATACCAGTAGGGGACCAGGAAGGACAGGCAACTCCAGCGGAACATGAAGCCCAGCATGATACCTGCTGCACCTGCATATTGGAAGGTGGAAGGTGAAAAGTAGTCAGTGATAGTGCTACACAGTCTCTAGTTACCAAAGCTGATTCCGGACACAAAATGATGAAATAAAGAGAACCTCCATGGTTCTTGTTGAAGTGACTTACTGCTTATTAATACAGCTTATTAATGTACATAGCACCGTGAGCAGGCAATGTGCCTGGATATGAGCACCATATAAGCGGACCATTACTATTACTATTATTACATGAAAATCACAGCGCAACAAACATTAACCTTGATTTCATGAACATTAGCATCAGTCTTTCAGAGTTGCGTATTGTTTAACAAAAGTGATCGTGAGTTTGACTTAATATTCCTTTGGACAATACTTCAGTTACATAGTCTTGCCAACTAAATCAGAGAGGACAATCAGCAGTGATGTTGGTGCTCAAGTGGGTAGTAGATGCTGACTAGCCAGAATCAGCCGCAGAAAGATTTAAGAACCTGAATGGCACATTATGTTTCTAGTTGCAATGTGGCACTGAATGAAACATTAATGGCATATTAAACTTTTAATTCACTCACTCACAAATCTGGAGAACTGTAAGAACACATTTTGGTATATGTTTTTCTTGGAATGGTGGTACATAATGAACAACTGGCCAAATTGTGAACCAACCTAGAAGCATGACGAGGTATACAATGTACATCCACACAAGGGGAAGAGGCTGGAGGAAGTTGAAAAGGGGGAACCGACACTCGTCTGCATTGCCCCAGCGCACATCCGCCATCCCCAGCCCTCTCTCCTGGGGAATGTCAAACAGCATCAACAGACCTGAAAAAAAAGGTACACATATACAGTCAGGGCAACTTTTATGATTTTCTAGGTTCTTTAATTGTCTTTTCACTTACATAAAATTCCAAACCCAGAAGTGAAATGATTAAATACTCAGTTGCACTGTGTTGGCTGTAGAAATTACAAATTGATCTGCTCAACTCTGTTTAAAGAGAATAAATATTGGAATGCTGAGGCTACAGCAGTATTATATCAATCATGACCATCAGTCATAGTAAAGTGTTGTTCACATACCAAGGATGGGCCTCAACTATCCTCGTCCAAGGTGGGACTCAAATAACCTCATCCCAAAATGGGCCTCAACTAACATCACCCAAGATGGGCCTCAACTAACTTCATCCAAGATGGGCCTCAACTAACCATGCCCAAGATGGTCCTCAACTAACCTGGCCCAATATGGGCCTTAACTAACCTCACCCAATATGGGCCTTAACTAACCTCATCCAAGATGGGCCTCAACTAACCTCGCCCAACATGGGCCTTAACTACAGAAGGACAACACTTTTCAGTCTGGTTTCCAATTCCAGTCTTGGTTAAGACATGGTAAATAATGACTAGTCATTGGGCAGTTAGTGAAGTATCAGTGTAATCAGTGAAGCGTCAGTGTAGTTAGTAAAGTGTCTGAGGTTAGTGAAGTCTCACTGGTGTAACTGGTATAATTAGTGAAGTCTCTGTATCATGAGTAAAGTCTTTTGCTACGGAAGTCCAAGTGACAGTTGAAGTTTCAGTGTAATAAGTGACCTCTTCAATAGCGCAGTCTCAGTGTAATTTGTGGAGTTCTGAACAACTAGATTGATATACAACATGACAAGTAAGTAACCAGACAACTAATGGTTGTTTGAAAAACCTAAATCAAAATGCACTTCCCAAGGACTTCCTGACCCTAGTCCTACTTGAATTGACAAATATTAAACCGTGCAATTTGAAGAACTTTTTGGCAAATTAGATGAAATTGTTGTGGCTTCTTGCCAGCTGGCTACATGGCTGGTAATGTGTAAAATCCTCTCAGTGAACTCTGAAATCTGAAGAGACTGGCCAAATGAAATTTTTTTACTGCTCTGTTCATATTGTTTTGCCTAGTGATACAGATATTCTACTATATCTGCAGCAGTAAGGTGGATGACAATACATCAAAGTGACTCTCTTGTTATCTCTTTGTAGGGCTGTACAAATAATGTAAACAAAATAAAACTATGCAAATTGAAATGTAATTAACAGTAATCTGTGGCAAATTTCAACTAGCAGTTGTCACGAAGGTGACATAATTCCCCGCCAGAAATGATCAAATCAAACCTAAAAAGTAATGAAAGTGAAGGTCGTAGTTTAATTTTAAGATGAAGTTAAACATCAACAAATATATGTACGGACGGATGGACAGAGCCTAATACTATATCGCCTGCTTTGTGCCAAACATGCGGCGGGGGCTAACTATGCTGGTCGCTTGGAACTCTGGGTAGGGGAATGAGGTGACTTAACATATCAGCTAATCTGGCTCAGTGACATGGTTGATGACATCAGATGTACCGTGACAATAGGGATCTTCACTCACAGCATCGATCACTGTTTGGTCCAGACATAATTATTAATTACCCACTATCATATAAGCACATAGACGGAATATTGCTGTGTGCTGCATCAAACCATGAACACACAGCATACTTTTGTATGCTCACCAAAATATGTTACAAACACTGAATCCTACAAGAATGTCAAGACAACTTAATATCTGCTGACTTTGGCTGTTGGAAGCATTTGAGCAACTACTCCAAACTGAATGGAATCATCAAAACAGCCTGAACCTATTTACTCAAGTCCTTCCAGCCCACAAAACTACTTCTCCAGAGAAATTACTTCAAGTTTACAAAATTATGTAAACATGACTAATAGACAAATATTGAATTTAGCAGAGGAAATCATTCATCCTTATAAGAAAATCAATTTAACTAACAACCTTAAGATTTTTCTTTGCATCATAAACAGGCTCATAAGACCAAATCCTCAAACATCAAAAACATGTGTAATTGTTTTAAAAGGGAACCATTCCTGAAATGAGCACATTAGGTGAGCACTGAAGGATGGGTGATGCATCATGCTGGAGCTGTTCCTTTGATGCCGGCATCGGCAGTGATGCAATCAAACCTTCATTTAACAACATCACTGTTCATCATACAATTACATTCCCGGATTAAACATTGTACATCATACAATTACATTCCCGGATTAAACATTGTACATCATACAATTACATTCCCGGATTAAACATTGTACATCATACAATTACATTCCCAGATTAAACATTGTACATCATACAATTACATTCCCGGATTAAACATTGTACATCATACAATTACAGTCCCAGATTAAACATTGTACATCATACAATTACAGTCCCAGATTAAGCCTCTTTGTCTCTTAACCTTGCAAGACTCCTTTGCTTTAAACACAAAACATTTCAGGCTACAGAGGAAGAATGCTTTTCATAAAACCATGCTGACTGAGCCATAGGACCATTTCCATCAAGTGTACAAATACCGTAATAAGCTTGGACATGAGGGTTATGGCGGTGAGGAACGCATTGTGTAATCAGCATTCCAAGCACAACTAATTTGGTTGCTTGTAGCACAGTATCTCCAAATTAATCTCGGGTCAGTAGATTACGCTGGAGAAAGTTACGTCTGTCTGAAAACATTAGACAATTATCTAATAAAGTGATCCGTCCCACTAACTGCTTGAAGGATCCGACGGTTTGATGTGAGCACTAAACATTGTTTGATGCTATCTTTCTACATTACAAAGCAGACACATTACAATGGGAACAACTGCCATCTTGTTGTACACATATTACCATTTGTCAATTTCTCCTTGAGTTTCGAGCTCCTGTCTTGTTAACAGTATTTATCTGACACTCTGAGATATAAGTTCCTTTGAAGACGGATTCCTTAAGAATGGTAAATTACAAATTGAACAATTTATACTAAATTGTGGACCTGCTCAAATTGGAAATGCAGTGGCTGAGTGAGTTGGGCAGTTGGGCAGGCAGATTTCAGCAGCGTACACCGAAATATTTGGATGCACACAACCATCTTGAAATATTCCTCAACAGCTTGTGCTGGTTGTAAGATGCATGGTCAGCATGTTCGGAGTTGAACATATGTTTGAGAACTTGTCAATGTCACTTACATTATCAATCACTAGATTATCTGTTTTAGACTCAAATATTTACAAGCTTCTGACATACACCTGCAATGTTTCAGAGAGCAGTGTTAAACAACAAAACTATTTTTTTACCTCTTCATATCGCTATGAACTTTGCAAACGATCAAATACATGCCATATTATCGTCAACAGATGCAATGATGCTATCAAATAAAAAGTTTAATCCTTGACATTTTAAAGTAAGGCGCAATTATTCACCAGTATAGTCATGACCTTACAACACACAAAGATAACAAGTTTTATAGGAATAAACTTTACAAACTATCGAATATATGTCAAATTATCCTCAAAAGAAGATATATAATGATGTAATTTAACACTCTGCTTAATCATTCAAAATTTCTTAAGAAGTTGCGTTTAAAGAAAGACAATTGTTTTTGTTTCAGTGGCATTCTAGAAGTTGGTGGTATAGAGATGATAAAACCTTATGGATGATCAACTTCTTTATGTTAACAATGGCGACATTTCGGTATAGATCCTTAAACCGATATACTTGAAAACGGCATAAGGATCTATACAGAAACGTCGCCATTGTTAAAACAAAGAAATTGATTATTCATAAAGGTTTGTCATCTCTAAAGAAAGACAAGTTCAGAATATTGTGTGGTTTCTAAAAATGACATGCCAGTCTTCAGCTAAGGGATGTTTATCTTTGTTTAACAAAATCGCCCATCCCCATAAATTTCACTTAAATGTTCGAAAGGTTTCAAATCATATCCGCTAAACTGAAGAGTAAGCCAGAAATTAAGACACTTTCAATATGATTAAAAATTCAAGTGTAAAACCTCATGTCACTTTTGTACACATTTTAAAGTTCAACCAATCCTTGGAGATGAAGATAACCATGTGTCATGGCAGAATTAGAGTCCTGTGTATTTTGGCTTCATGTTGTTAAACATATTAGTGTTTTAAAAAGAAGTGCATGGAGTTTAAACTAAACCAAATTTTCTTCAGCTCTGACATTTAACACAGGAATGCCCCTGTGATTTTGCTTCTTCAATAATTTACACCATAATCAGTCCTTTTGCTGCAGTTGAGAATGCCATTAAAATAGATTTAATGTTGGAGAAACTGCAAGCTGATGACAACTGAAATGCAGTTAATTTTTTAAACACTGCTGTCGCTTACATTTCAGGGACAATCCAAGTTTCTGAGGCAAACTGCTTTTGACATATTTCCAAGATGGCTGCCTACCTGTCAGTGTACAGTGGCAGATGTGACAGATCATTAGAATCTGATATGCTGCAATAGCAGCTCTGCACAATGTCTAGTGATTATTCGGAGATGGCAATTCTATAACATGCTTTCCATTTAATCAATAATTGATTTTGCGCAATTATCCACATGCAAGTGATAAAAGTTTAATGGTTTGATTTGGTTTGTTGTTTTACGCCGCTCTCAGCAATATTCCACCTATATGGCGGTGGTCTGTAAATAATTGAGCCTGAACCAGACAATCCAGTGATCAACAGCATGAGCATCAATCTATCCAATTGGGATACGATGACGCATGTCAACCAAGTTAGTGAGCCTGACCACCTGATCCCATTAGTCGCTGCTTACGACAAGCATGGGTTACTGAAGATTCTAACCTGGATCTTCACGGGTTAAAATTTTAATGACTACTGTACCAACTGAAAGGGAAAGAATCAGTCCATACAGTGACCTGTGAAGGTCCGGGTTAGAATATTGGCCTTCAGTAACCCATGCTTGTCGTAAGAGGCGAATAACGGGATCGGGTGGTCAGGCTCGCTGACTTGGTT